GCTCTCCAGGCCCACCCACGCATCTTGTCGCCCAGGGGCATTCGCGACGATGGGGACCCCTCACGCCCCCACGGCCACCCATTTACTGGGCGGGGAGGGCAACGACACCCCCAACCATGACCGCCATCCAGATACCGCCAAGTCAGCCGGGAACGTGGACGACATTGTCGCTGGCATGTCCGCCGTCCATCTTGCAGCCAAGACAGATAGTCAAATCGACACCGACACCGACACCGACGCCGGCAGCGACACCGACAGCGAAGTCGACGCCCACGATGACGATCACGTGCCGGAGCCCGCCACGCTGCGCCGCTGGGAGGTCATTGACCGTATCATGGACAGCCTCTCCAGCAAACTCGAAGCCAAGATAGTCCAGACAAAGGCTGAGCCAGCACCTACGCCTCCCCTGTTACCCAAGCCCGCCGTGCTGGAACGGCGGAGCTCGGTGGAGGGATCCACGGTAGCAGCCAAAGGCAAAAGGGGTGTTTGGACGTGGGCCGCCGGGGACGAATCTGATGAAGATGAGACCAAGGAGAGAAGGGGCGAAAAGGCAGACGAACAAGTGGAAATGGTGATGGCTTCCATGGATGGTGCATCTAACGAGTCAAGCACCTTGGCCGCTGCTGCTCCCCCACCACCCCCTGGCCCAACGCCGGAGCCTCTCCTGACAAAGGGGAGAAAGGCCGGCTCCTCGATCTTGGGTCTTTTCTCACGAAAGCAAACGATACGGTCATCGGTGACAGACTCAACATCGGGTCCCTCGGCCAGTGAATCAGCTCCGCCTCAACCGCCTGCTCCGTCCTCCGCTCCTGCAGCTCGACCTCTTGCTTCGGCGCCACCGTCTCTGCGTACTCTGGCTCCAGCTCCCCCACGGGCGACAGCGGCACCAACTCCTGAAGCACCGGGCCATCTGGGCATCCTCGGCACTCTCGCGTCGGCCTTGTCAGCGGGCGGCACCCAAGATGTCCCAGCCCACTTGCCGCACGTTGTCGGAGAGGAACGTGATCGTATACGGGACCAGTTGGAAGACATGTTTACACGCCAGACCGCAACAACGTCAGCAACCTCTACCCGCGGCGGACCTTTATTCGGGGGCCCCACCACGTCATTCGTGCCCGCGGCATACGCGCACACACGGTCAGCCCATGTCCCGCCCATGCCGTCGCAGCGAGGCCTCGTTCATACCTCCATGCCCACCACTCCTCTGTCGTCACGGAGTGCACCACAAGCCTCACATAGCACGTGGCAGCCTCCGACCGCGACAGCTCCTGCATCTGGCTATGGGTTTTCGGCCCTTGGCTCCGGCCAGGGTATGCCACGACAAGAATTCCAAGTGGAGAGCCAACCCCGTCCAACTCCGACACAAGACGTCGGGCCAAACAGCGGTTTCCGCGGCCTCGGTGTTGCTGGCTTCTCGCAACCTTACATAAACGTGCACAGGAACGTGGCTTTGCAAGAACCCACCCCACCAGGCCACGCGTCCACCAGCCCACCATCGGATCTGGCCGATGTCGAAGATGGGGAGCAGCAAGGTCGACGCCGCAAGTCTAGAGTGAACCATCTAAAGGTGGACGAAGAGATTGCGAGCGACCATGATGGACGGCGGAAAAAGGCGAGAAAAAGCGACAATCTCAATACCGCCTCGGCGGGGCAGCGGAAATTTGCCTGCCCCTACTTCAAGCGGAACAAGAAGAAGTACAGCAAGTGGACTTCGTGCCCAGGTCCCGGGTGGGACGAGGTCCATCGAGTCAAGTACATAATACCCCTTCTCTCTATTCTCTCAATTTGGCATTCGCATTCGCATTTGCTGACCATGACAGAACCCACCTCTACCGTCGACATGCCCTTCCCATTCAATGTGTGCGGTGTTGGGAGGTCTTTAAGACGGACGAGGCTCTCAATGCGCATCTTCAGCAAGACCCTCCGTGCGAAACCCGAAAGAACCAGACTCTGGTCGAGGGATTCACCAAAGACCAGGAAAAGAGACTTCGGAGTCGCAAGAAGGCGCAGGCCGACACCACGGACGAGGACAAGTGGCGCGAGATCTACATGATTCTCTTCCCCTATGACGAATGGCAGTCCATTCCGTCCCCATGTATGTCGTTTTCTCTGCTTGTCGCCCCTCATTTGCTGACATTTTCCAGTCTACGAAGCGTCGGATTACGAAGGCGAGGGCGGCGGCACGTCGGGATCAGGAGAGTTGGAGGACTATGCGACGTTTGTTCAACGAGAGATGCCCACGCTGGTGCGCCGGGAACTGGAGACGTTGTTTGATCTGGAATTCCAGGACGTCGAAGAGCCACTCCGCCGCAGGGTCGCAGAGATCGTTGTCAAGCTGCAACCACGACTTCTCAACCTTTACAAGCAAACTCAGACGCCACTGAGTGACTACGGCCCGCCGTCCAACGAGCCTTCTGGGGGCGCCACGGGAAGCGAGCCTGGTCTTACGCCGACCATGTCGCACCGCACCCCCGAGTCTGACTCCACGCCTGGCACCAACGTCGAGGGAAGTGTGCCACTCGGGTTTGATGTGGACGAGATTTTCGACTTTGATGGTATTCTTGGGGTCGACCAAACGCAGCAGTTGCAGCAGTTTGACGCATACGGCAACCCCGTCTTCAATTGGGATGACGACTTTGAGAAGTTGATCAACCCAACCTTTTTCATGCCTCCTCAGCTTCAGGGGCCAAACGCGGGCATGGCGCTCCCCACCTATCCGTACCCCGGGGAGCTCTCGGGTTCGGGAGACACTTACCCGGGGGGTGCTTCTTCCGGGGGCGGCTACCACGTGGGTGCCTCTGGTACCGGGGGCAGTTACCATGGGCGTGGCTCCGGTTCCGGGGGGCCCGGGGTGTCTGGTTATCAGTACTGAACGCTCTCAAGTTCCCAGCGACAGCGGACGCCGTCGAAGAGCCTTATCAGGGAGGTCGGTGTTGGAGGACATGATGATTTCAAATCAGCGACAAATACTAGTCTTCTCTGAGCGTCACCAATGATACCAGTGGTTTTCTTTTTTGGTTTGGCTTGTCCGCGATCCCGAGAAGTACCTTCCCGTTCTCTATGTACCCTTCTACGGAGTAGCACTGTGAGACCAACTTACACATCGACCCGCGCACCAACTGACATCTGTCCAGCTCAACTGAGCCCACCCTCTCGGCTTTCTTTCCCCCGGTGGCCGAATGTTTGCCCCAACTCTGCAGGGCAAATTGATACCAAGGCTCCTAGCCTCCCTACGGCCAAGGTCCTAAAATGGACCAGGCTTTCAGCTAAGACGCGGAGACCACATCAGCCACTGCAACAACCCGGGCATGCAGAAGCCCATTCGCTGGGCTTGAACTCCGGAAGAGATATGCTTCTTGGCAGAGAGGACTTGAACCGGGAATGATTTCCACTCGCAAGAGCAGAGCCTCATTGAACCCGGCGAAGCAGAGGAACTGCAAGCCACTAGGTCAACACACAGTACGGGAAGCAGAAATAAGAAGCAGGATGATTGTTTGTCACGTTGCTGTCTGGGTGGCTGCATGTACTAAGTAGTGCCACCATCCACAAGCACGGCCTTCACCACGCAGGTCAATCTCCAGCCCAGTCTTCAAAGCATCGACATTGGCCATCGCTGTCGCAAGGCTCTGGGAGGCGTATGCTTGCTTGTTTCATTCAAATGCCTCGGGGATGAGGGGGTGGCCCGCCCCAAGTAGATGCAGGAGATGTAGGTGCCACTGTCTTGTCGGCTAGGCGCTGTTGTGTCCACGAAATTCGGCTCTGCTCAGAGACACGGTATGCCCGGTAGCGTTCGCCAGGAATAGTATGCACTAGAGGCTGGATTCTGCCTTGCCTGCTGTTGTTCAACGAGGGGCTGAGTCGAGACTACAGGAAATTTGATGCACTCCTATTAACATCATGAAAACGGCTCAGAGCCTTGCACTCTGGGCTATTGATGGCGGCAGACCGGGTGTTTCCGTCCGAGTACAAATGAAATGGGGTTCCCGGCGGAGTTGCTATGGAAAAGACCAGCAACCGACATATCAGAGCTTCATCTCCTCCCTTTTCGGCCCCAACTTGATATTGCATCGCCTTGCCTCGCCAATCTACTGTCACCATGGTCGGATACTTCCAGCTTGTGGCACTGCTCACCACGGTAGTTGGGCTCGCCTGCCAACCCGTGTTGGCGGACCAGAAGCCCGGTGTCAAATGTCCGTCAGGGTATACGAACTTGGTTAATGGCTTTGGGACCCAGTGCGACGTGGTTGACATTGAGGGTCTCAAGGGCCACTCTGCCAGCCAGATTCTGTACGAAATCATCGCCGAATCGCCCCTCTCCAACGACACATTTTTCCGCAACGGTTCCCACGTAACGTGTCTCTTTCAAGACACCTCGTTCAGCCTCGGCGGCTCGGGCATCGGAGCTGGGCCGCTTGAAATCCACATCCCGCACATCAAGTACGACGGAGGTAAGCGTCTGTCTCCTACAATTTACAGACCGCCATGCTGACTTCTTTTGATAGCTCTCTGTCTGTATGTGGACGGCGTCCCCCAAGGCGGCCTCACTCTCGGAGAGATTCGAAACCTTACAAAGGCGTTCATCCTGGAAGACGGCTGTGGTATGTGCGGGAAGATCACGGCCAACTATCTCTCCGGGAATGTCACGCAAAAGGGGCATGTCCGTGTCGACTGGGCGACAAATTCGGTCTGTGTTGATGACTGTATTGACCCGAGCAAGACGGAGAACTTGGTGCCTCCTGTCACGGCCGAGACAAACCAAACCGGCACGTCAGAGGGGAAGAAGAACGGAGCTGGGGCGATGTGGAACGGGTGGGGCACTGTTGGTACTGTGCTGCTCCTTTCCGCAATGGTTGCTTTTCTTTGAGTCGGTTGGACTCGACGGGTATGTGCTGGGGCGGTGGACAGTATTCCAGGAGCAAGATTCAAATTGATCGACAACAACTTGAGTTTCAGGCGTCGTCTCTTCTATTCCCAATTAACGCCATTGACAAGAATCAACAGGTCCGCTGGCTCAATGGCAGAGCGTCTGACTACGATTTCGTATCAATCAGGAGGTTCCAGGTTCGACCCCTGGGTGGATCGTTGTGTATATTCATTTTGCATTTTTGTCATCGATGTGTATCCCCAGTTTGCCATTTCTTTTTTTGCCGGGCCCGAGAACAGGGACAAGGGATGAATGCATTCATTCATGTTCTGCACCTTCTTTTCAGTGTCCTTGCATTTTTGCAGCGACTCGTCGTTGAAGCCCCACTCCTGTTGCCCCTGGATCCACCACTGACAGCGACAGCCCCTTTTCCATTGTTTTGTTTTGTTGTGCCGGATGACAACGCCCTTAATCTTCAACCACACGTAACTGGCCCGTCCATTTTGGCGCTCCAATCGAAGACGGTGCATCCGCTGCTGGAACTCCCCGAACTTCCCAAAGCGGCCTTGGTTGTGACGTCTAGCTGTCTCAACAGGACTTTTACCCGTCGGGTATAGTGACAAGCGCGCTACTTGGTAGCCTGTAACCCAGCTTGGCGGTCCACGGAACTCATATGCCGCCGGTTTATGGACAGATTTCGCTTTGGCAGTCGCCATGCATATTTCAAGACAGAATCTCATGTCACCAACACACTGCACCTGGGGTGTCACTGAATCCGAGCTTCACCAACATGGCGCCGCCGGACCAACGCGTCGGCTTCACGCCGCTGCTCCTGACCCTCCTCGCATCGCTCATGACATCCCCCTCACTCGCATCTACAACCTCCCCCTTCACCCATTGCCCGAACGCCCCGGCCGGGCCCCTGGCCAAGAACCCCATCACAACATGCCCTCTCCCCGGCCTCATCGGCGTCATCCCCGAGCTGCAGTCCACCACGGTCCAGTGGACCTACCCGCCCCGGTGCCTGGGCCCGGAGTCCCTCAAGCCCAACGGCACGCGGCACGACTGCCTCTTCACCTCGGCCGAGTTCCGCAACGGGCACGGCATCAGCATCATCGGCCCGGCGTCCATCACGGCCGACCTCATCGCCCAGGGCGCCTTCATCGACCGGCCGGATCCGCCTGCGGCAGTCAAGCGGCAGGCTGGCAAGCCGGCGTACCGCGTCGTCGACGTTCCCGGGAAGGGCAAGGGCGTGGTTGCGGCGCGCGGCATCAAGAGGGGCGAGATTATCATGGTGGATGTCCCGTCCCTGATCCTGAGCACGGGGTTCGTCATGGAGACGAAGCCGCATCATCGGAGGAGGTTGATGAAGGCCGCGTTTAACCAGCTGCCGGAGGAGACCAAGAAGGCGGTCTTTGGGTTGCGGAGGGGGGCGGAGAAGCACCTGGTTGATCAGATTGTGGGGACGAACTCGAATGGGGTTGAGCTGGGCGAGGAGGAGGGGTTTGTTGGAGTGTTTGTCAAGGTTGCGGTACGTTGGCGGTGTTGGATCTGCCGAGGGAGAGGTGCTGACTGGTGATGCAGCGGATCAACCATTCTTGCAGGCCAAAGTGAGTTTCATCCAACCTGGGGGTGGCCAAGTGCATGACCGCTGACATTTGCAGTGCCTATTATCGGTTCTCTCAGGAGAGGCTGACCATGGAAGTCGTGTCTTTTCGGGCGATCAAAGAGGGAGAGGAAATCACCATGAGCTGTAAGTCCTGACCTGCCAGCTTTTCCTGGCAGGAGACGCTGACACCAGATGAGACGTGCCGCTGGAGATGAAGCACGATGAGCGCCGGCACTTCCTCGAGGCGAACTGGGGCATCGAATGCACCTGTTCCCTCTGTCGCGCCAACGACTATGACAAGGGTGAGTCGGAGAACAAGCGGCGATTGATGAAGGAATGGAAGGACACGCTGCAGGCCGCCAAGCGGGACAAGTTCTACAAGGACGCCATCACCATCGCCCAGGACATCCTTCAGGTCTCTGAGCAGGCGGACCTTCCGCCCCTCTTGCCCGAGTACCACGACATCTTGGCCGAGCTGTACTCGCTCAAGGGCGATTTGCCGGAAGCGCTGCGGTATGCGCGCCTGGCATTGACCGAGTGGGTGCGGTTTGGGAGTTTGGATTACGGCGAGTTGGAGTGGGCGAGGGAGATGTTGGAGAAGATTGTTGAACAGGATGCAGCCCGGACGCGGCAACTGTTGGGGATCTAGCGTCTGTTGTATATGTACTTGGTAACCTCGCCGGAAAATGGAATGAACGAACTTGAGATGGGACGTTTCTCGACGTGGCGGATCGGATGAAGCTTGTCAGGGATGTTGGTGCTGAAGCGGGGACCTGAAGCGGGGATTGGGAAGCTTGCGATTGCTTCGGGCTAACCATGAATGAGATGGTTTCCCATTGTCTGTTGGTGTTGGTGTCGAGAGGGGATGATAAATCCGCCGTTCTCAACCTTGTAGGTGTCTTCTGGGCTGTCAAATCCACTTTGCCTCGTCCTTGTGTTGGAAACGAGTGTCGCCAACAACCGAACAAATACACGACACAGCCAAACCACAGATAACTGGACCGTCACAAAATGGCATCCTGGCGCGCAATGACGGCAGACGACTTCCCGCAGCTCGTCCAAGTCGCCGACGAGATCCACCCCGATCTACCAGAGGGCGACTTTGTCTTCTCGGAGCGCGTCCGGCTCTTCCCCGAGGGATGCCTCATCCTCGCCCAGGGCTCAAGGGTGATGGGCTACGCCGTGTCACATCCGATCCGCCACGCGCAGCCGCCGGCGCTCGACAGTCTCCTTGGGGAGATCCCGACGGATGCAGATCAGTACTACATCCACGATGTTGCCATCCTGCCGGAGCTGCGGGGGCAGGGACACGCGGCCGAGGGCATTCGGAGGCTTCTCGATGTGGGCAATCGGTTCGCGTCGACGTGCCTCGTCTCGGTATATGGTACGGGGTCGTTCTGGGGTCGGTTCGGATTTCGCGAGGAGGAGGTCGGCGAGGCGCTGAGGCAGAAGCTGCGGAACTATGGCGACGATGCTGTTTTCATGTCGCGAAAGAACGACGCGTGTCGCCAAGATTGAGGAAATTGGAGATTGGAGATTGGAGCACGGACCGAGGGGCAGTGGCAGGGGTCTGGGGTTTGGTGGGGCTCAAGTGGGGGTAACCCCGCATCGCGGGGGAGGGGCAGCAACTGAAGTCATCATTTCAAGGCCCGTCGTTTGCTTGTGACAATGTGACAACAAACGGGACGAGAAGTCTCTCCAGAGAATCATCTCGGTCAATCGGACGAGCTGCATGGATTCGGCGCATGCTAGGGCGAGACGGGCAGGTGGTATCGGAAGTCTGCGCCAAGATGGGAAGGGTGAACTCGGACGACGGGCAGGAACATGACGACGGCGTCAATTCGCCAATGGCCGCGATCGATGCGCCCACGCTGCCTCGTTTCCTGGGATCCTTCAACGTCCCCGCCTCGATGCCGTTGACTCCACGCTCAAGAACTCGTCTCTGGCTTTGGGCCGGCCCGACCTTGGGAGCAATCCGGGACGTTGCATCCAATGATGCTACCTCGTGATACGGCACGACCAAAGTCAGGACCGTGAGTCTCTTCCCCGCGTCGGTGTCGATGGCCTGCGCAATCAAGGCACGTTTCCCAGCGGGTGGTGGGAAAGAACCAGGCAAGAAGTCGTTTCCTGCCTCTTCTCCATTCTCTGCACCAGGAAAGGCAGGGAAGGCGAAGGATGTCTCCCCCCCCCCCCCCCCGGAGGAGGGCACCCCCATCATGAAAGCCACAGACCCACAAACTGGGTGACGGGAAATGGAACGCTACTCGGGAGAAAAAGTTTATCTTGAGTCGCACATCGCCGGTTCCTGACCTGGACCCGGGCTGTCGAGGATTGTACACCGAGATTTGCGACGACCACTGTTCCTTCCCCTCTCCTTCCCTGCCCTGCCCTCGTCCCTGATCCCGTCTCGACATCTCGACCACCACCCCCGGGTCGCCATCATGCTCTCGACGGCCGTCGTCTTCAGCCTGGCGCTTGCCCTGCCAGCTCTCGGTGCGCCCGAGTTCCGAAAGCGCGAATGCGCCAGCACATCTCCCAAGCCCATCAAGAATATCCAGCTCGGACCCCGTCCCTACTGGTTGATCGACCAGCTGGAAGATGGGTTGCTCAAGGAGAAGCTCGAGTCATGCACCGAGATGAAGATGAAGCCCTCGGCCTGGAGCATCTCCCACCGTGGAGGCGGCACTCTCCAGTTCCCCGAGGAGACCCATGGATCCATCATGGCTGGCGTGAGTTGACCACATTCTCCCAAGGCACACATACTCTGAGCAGCATGAGCAGCAACACTGACTCTCCACAGACGAGAATGGGCGCCGGGATCCAGGAGTGCGACGTCACCTTCTCAAAGGACAAGTCCCTGGTGTGCCGTCACTCCCAGTGCGACCTCCACACGACCACCAACGTCGTGACCATCCCCGCCCTCAACGCCAAGTGCACCACGCCCTTCACGCCCGCCGCCAACGGCACCGCCGCGAGCGCCAAGTGCTGCACCTCGGACTTCACCCTCGCCGAGCTCAAGACCCTCTGCAGCAAGATGGACGGCTCGAACCCCAACGCCACCACCCCCGCCGCCTACCTCGACGGCACGCCCCTCTACCGCACCGACCTGTACGCCAAGACGTGCGAGCCCATCCTGACGCTCCGCGAGTTCATCACCCTCGTCGACGGCCTCGGTCTGCAGTTCACCCCCGAGCTCAAGACCCCCGAGGTGCCCATGCCCTTCCCGCCCGGCAGCAACTACACCCAGGCCGCCTTTGCCCAGCACATGATTGACGAGTTCAAGGCGGCCAAGATCGCCCCCGAGCGCGTCTGGCCGCAGTCCTTCCTCTACGACGACGTGCTCTACTGGCTCAAGGCCGAGCCCGCCTTTGCCAAGCAGGCCGTGCTGCTGGACGAGAGCGCCGACTTTGCGCCCTTCGAGTACAGCGTCGGGAACCTGACCAAGTACCGTGACGCCGGCGTGCAGGTCATGGCGCCGCCTCTGCCGTATCTCGTCGCGGTCGAGGACGGCGTCATGGTGCCCAGCGCGTATGCCGTCGAGGCCAAGCGTCTGGGGTTGAAGCTCATCACCTGGAGTCTGGAGAGGAGCGGGTGGCTGGCGGATGGGTC